TAGATAGATAGATAGATAGATAGATAGATAGATAGATAGATAGATAGATAGATAGATAGATGGATGGATGGATAGATGGGTGGGATGGATGGATGGATAGATGGATGGATAGATAGACAGACAGATAGATATATAGATAGATAGATAGATAGATGGATGGATGGATAGATAGATAGATAGATAGATTATGATAGATACTGATAGATATCTCTATAAGAGATAGAGATAGAGAGAGATGATGAAGACTCCGTGACTTCAAGGTACGGAGCGCAAACGAAGTCGCAGATTAGTTCAAGTCGCTGTCGCAAGTTTCTCAGCGTCGTTTGTACATTTCGAAAATACACGCGCCATGAAAAACACGGCGTGCACTTCGCCAGCATGCATACACGCCCCATTCCACGCTTGTATTGGAGGCTTGTCAAGCCGGACAGGCGCGTTCGCACGGCAAACATTTGCACAGGTTTTTGTTTGACTTCTCTTTCTCGCGGTAATATTTTTGGTCATGGGCCTTCCTGGCTTTAGCATGAGATATATGTCACAGGTTGGTTTCGAACACACGCACACACACGCGCAAACGCACACACAACACGCGAGCACAACACGCACACACAACACGCGAGCACAACACGCACGCACACACTACACACACGCACACACAACGCGCACGTACACACAACACGCACGCACACACTACACGCATGCACACACACACAACACGCACGCACAACACGCACGCACCCACTACACGCACGCACACTACACGCACGCACAACACGCACGCACACACAACATGCGCGCACCTAAATGCGCCTACGGCACAAATATATCAAGAACGTGATCAATCAATCAATTAGGTGGGGAAGGTAAGCAATCACGTTCAGTATAGAGATACACACACGCCCGTAAGCCAAACTAATAAAAACTCGATCAGAGGTGAACTGCACGGCAAACATTAATTATGCATTCTTGAGATTAATTGCATCGATGGCTCATTAGCGCTCGCAGTTGCCAACTACCCGGTTACCTGGCTGTTTCTCCTCCTCCCCTCAGGTAGATCTACCGCTTCATTAGACCTACCTGAATAATACCTGTCCATACCTTAACGTGGCTTGATTGATGAAATGATTAAGAGATAGAGTGATGCAACAGAATCGCAAGTGATGAATTTAAAGCAACCCCCCCCCCCAGTTCACATGTTTTCACATCGACATATTAAAACTATGGGAATTTCCTAATCGAGCAATCAGCTCACGTGGGCACGTTTAATTCTTCACGGTGTACCCTGTGGGCCTGTACACTTTCCTATATTTTTTTCGAGCAAGATATACAGGTTAGAGGATAGGCGGAGACAGACAGACAGACAGACAGATAGATAGATAAATAACAAAGTGGATAGTTACGGCGAAAAGTCAAATATGACCAAAGCTGAGAAATTCATTCCAAGCTGAAATATGAAGAGAGAGAGAGAACACTAAACTTATCTCAGTATTTCCGAGACAAATACTACATTTTCACGCAAAGCCATGTGTAGCCACCATGATTGAGTTAGTCCAGATAGCACGTTTCATCCCATAATCTCAACCAATTGCACAGTTTTCCAGTTTGCACGTTTTTGTGAAACTAGTGATTGCATAATAAATCATGTAATTTCATTATGATGCTAGCAATGCTGGGCAGGTACCATAAAGTTAATGGCAGCCATATGTTGCCAGTCATCAATCAAGAGAATTAAAATACGCGAAAGTAACCACTTTGTGGATTTACGCAGCATGTGTTGCCTAGACACAGCTTGGCTAGAAATGCTACCAGATTTTACAAAAACAGACTGTGAACTTTAACAGCATTATACATACCTTCAAGTTAATGTTTTTGATGGTAATAAATACTCTAAGTAAGGCTGTTAAACTAAGTTTTACACGAATACTGACAGTTATCACGAAAGCAGCCACTACTGCAGCCTGACAGCCCTAAAGGAGTGACCCCAGCATAAGTAGAGGGACTGTGGATAACCCCACACCAGAATGCAACAATCAAAGACACTCCATACGATTCTAATGCATCCAAGAATAAGAAAAATTATCGCATTAGAAGCTATCTCTACTACCATGTCTACTAATGAGAAACACCGTAATAAAGCAATTGAAACACTAGATCTGGTGAAAAGTCACTTCTTATCTGTGCATTGCACCTCATACTTGTAAAACTAATCAGGTCTTCACTCATTAAATTGAGCGATTATCGTGATTGTACCTGCAAAAACTGCGAAAGAAATCCACACCCTCTCTCCTATTTCCTGAATGTCTCAAAAAATGTACACGACTCGTCATAATGACAAAATTATTGTAGTAACAAGGTAAGATTTACATGCCTGTGATATGCACAAATTGAATAGCAATTTAAAATCTTACCTGAAACACCACGTATGCCATTCAGTGCTTAGGGCTTGTATGAATTCCTGATCCAAAATTTTCCGTTTACACCCAGCACACGGTGGTCGACTTTCTGAAATGTTATACGGTGCAAAATGTTTCAAAGCCACTTGCAAATTTTTTAGCTTTCACCACACCATAGTCATAGACCACACTAGGGGTGGCCAATGTGATATGCTTAATTTATCATCCACAGTTCACAGTTTGAGAAATTTATTTATCTCTCTAAACCAGGGTCCCTTTCTAGGATTGAGCAGGGTATATCTGCCTGGCCTGTAAACTATACGCACTGCTACTGACACGGATTTAAAACACAGAGCATTGGACATTCACTTAACGTTTTTATAATAAATCGCTTGTGAGATTTATTATAGCCTTATAACTCTAGCCTCTGGAATCGGTACATCACTACATCATGATGATCATGATGTACTCTACCATGTTTTATTAAAACTTTCAGTTTAACTTTGTCTTAGATTTGCAGGAAGCTGTAGTGTTAATAATAATAATAATTAATATTACTAGAGCTGAGAGGGTCTATGTCCCCCAGGGTACTGCCGGAACGTACCCTGGTACTATCTAATATGCCGGACAGTACCTCGCCTACTCCACTAACGAGTCTAAGGAGTCGCCTACGCCTACTCCTAACCATATCAAATAGTTACCAGGGTAGCTGAGGGTACGTTCCGGTAGTAACCTGGGGGACATAGACCCTATGAATATGAGTATGAGCATAATTACTAGACAATCACAACTGACACAAGCCAAACCAATATCCACGAAGTAACCACGCGTTCATGTATAAACGCCTAAACGAGTTTTCCATGAGCACAGTTCAGTAGGCCTATTTTTACTGTAATATCATATTAAATTAATAAATATGCATAACCCAGAAAAGCTCCAAATTAGACCGGGTACCGCGTTAGCCGCATACAGCGCGAGCGGTTGCGGCTATCACTCAGTATCACCGTAGACAACACAGAGTCCTCGCCAAAAGCGTGGGACCGTCGGACAAAACCGGTGATTTTTGCACGGGTCCGACAAGAAATTTGGCTTTACCAGACCGTGTGTCAGGCAACATTACATCAACTAATCACGCAGAGGCTACGGGTACGCTAGTACCACACACTATGCCTAACTCTAATATCCCTGCCTATGGCTATCTTATATACGCGTGTACCAAATTAATCTATGGTGTGGGAAAGCGATAGGAAGAGATTAGCTGTTATATGATAAAAGATAAGAAAATGATGACATGCGACGTGTGTGTGAACTATCATGGGAAGTTTATATTACTATCATTGATTATACCTGGATCACACAACTGGACAAGGCCAAAGGCCTAGAAATAGGTGAAACCTACATTAATGACAAAGCTGGCAAGCAATGCATTGCTGATTGTACGCGTCACGCGTACGCGCAATGGATGAAAAAATAAACGATGCTAGCTTTTTCAGCTTTATCATGGACGGGTCAACAGACATAGCTGGTGATGAGCAGGAAAGCATATATATGTTAGATATGTCCACAAAGGAAAAGCAACAGAGATGTGAATGTGTTTTAATGTTTCAATATTTTTTTGGTCCAGTAACATATCATTATCATTCGGTCTGGTAAAAATCTATTTTTTACTGGACCGAATGTCCAGTAAAGGATTTTGTCTTTTGGCGAGGACTGATTACACATCGCGTCTATTTTTGCTTTAATTAGCTTCAGCGCTAATATAGGCCTACAAATTATATCTGCCACGCCACTCTTTAATGTGGTACTGATATACGACGCGTAAGGTATTAAACCACTATAAACAATGCAATTTTATCGGTTTGTTGACAAACGTTACCTGTTAATTCCGCCATTCTGAAGAGATGCTATTTTGTTTCAGCTAGACTGGCACCATAGCATCATCTTCTCTTCAATATCTATGCTGGCCACTGATCTCTATAATATAATCAGGAATAAGATAATATAGAATCTATATTATCTTACTCTTGATATAATCATTATTAATTATTAATCATTATTATTCATAATTATTAATCATATTATTATTCATGTTATTATTATATATTAGTGCATGACGTGATAAATCGCTGCAATCTCATTGGATAACGCAGCAGGCACTATGAAGCGATAGTGCCCGCCAGATAGTCTGTGGGCTTATGTATAAAAAGCAAAATTTTGGGTAGATTCTTGGCACCCATGTTTAAACACACCTAGAAACATCACTGATTAAGAAAAAAATGGGTGCCAGTTTTTGTAGGGCCGCCATTTTGAATTTCAAAATGGCGGCGTTTTTTAAAGCGATTTGTATGATTTTTTGGTATTCAACATTATTTTAAACGTATAATCGAAATGCGTTCATAGAGTTTGGGTACCAAATGAATTATAGTTGAGACAACTTTTCATCTGAACTCTGTTTGCATGGATGATGGATAGAAACAGGTTTTCGACGTTATTATCAAAAAATATATATAATCTTACCACGCATTTTTAAATTTTTAAACGCAATCGGACTCTATTTTAGTTTTTAACTTTGTATTTCTAGTCAAGACACATATCTAATCAAGTCATAATTTTATAAATGTTTTAAATAATTTAAGGTCTTGACGACGCATGGCAAGAAGCAGATCTGTACAGTAGCGTGACTGCATGTATCACAGATTTTAAATGGCAATCATTACAACAGAGCGATCGAAGCGCACCAGTTAACTCTTCAGGCACTCTTCGATCTCTGGATGGAGAAATTCCTTGAGGATCAACCTGTTGTACGTGACGCCTTGGTAGCCAGCGTAAAGCAGCTGACTGAAGCATGCCGGGATAAGACAGGCGTTGCAGAAGCGCATTAGGCATTCAAAATGAATATAGAATCCTTCAATCTTGAGAAACAGCTACGAGAGTTTGACGCTAGTCGTAAGACAGACCCAATGTTTCAATGGGCTAGGATGTACATGCGGCAGGTGATGACACTGTTACAGTTCCAGAAGGCTATACGGGAAGGTAACTGGCACCTCTACTTGGTATCACTTGAGCATCTTTGTAAGTACTTTTTTGCATATGCCAGGCTAGATTATGCTCAAAACATTCCAGAGTTCATCGCACGCATGGATGCCATAAAAACCTCTGATGCAGATCTATGGCAGAGCTTTACCAATGGTGAGTTTGCAGTGAATACCAGCAACCGTATTCAATTCATACGAATTGGTGTTGATCAGGCGATGTGTTGAACACCTCAACAAATCAACGAAAGGCCAAGGAGGGATCTCTGGAATAACAACATCTCCAGCAACGCTCTTGAAGTTTTGTCTCACTGCTCCGGAGCTGGCATGACTTGCTGATGAGTCAGAACGACTTGTAGCTACTACTAGCACAATTGCACCACCACAGCAGCATCAACTCTGTCAAAATTTGCTCGCCAAGAACGCTCCGTGCCCAGCTGAAGTAGTGTTAGACACTTGCAATTAATATCAACAGAGGCTGGTAGCGAGAACTCGGACTGCAGAGGCTGCCATGTACAAACTCATGTCAAAGGAGATCATCCCAGCGGAAGTTCACCAAAGTATCCTAGCACAGAGAAATGGCATGGAAGCTTACAAAACGTTTGTAGGGAACGCCAATCATCTGGAGTCGCAATTTGTGGGACAAGATGACCAAGTCAAGCAGAAGACATCGGATGTCTGCTGCGAAAAGACATTAAATTCAACACAGGGTCTGAGGTGTTGACCTTGAAGGCAACCACATCACTCTTTGCCAGACTGCTGAGTTATTGCCCGCGTCATCTCGAAGAGTGTCGATCTGGAAGAAGTGATTGGCATGAATGAGTTTTGCCTACGACGAACAAGTTCTCATGCGCACCGGATGGATCTATTCATCCACTACAGACAAGAGCACAGTGATAAGCTCTGGAGATTGGTGGCCAACAGCCACAGTTTCAAACTTTCTGCACAGCCCACGAGTTTGAAGAGGGAATGGAGACGTGTCTTGTAGGTTGATGGAATGGGAGTGGTACAGGAGTTGATGGCAATCAATTCAGACTTGCAAAGAGCTTGCAACATCCTTCGTCACACTCTTGACTCAAAGACTCGAGGATATTGTCAAGTGCCGAGTTATATGATAACTACACCAAAAAGCATCAATGAAGAAACAGATAGAGAGCAACGGAAAGGCAATGTGCGGGTAGCTAAAATCCTACATAGTTCAAGACTAACGGGCTATCAAAGACAGAAAGATATTCTCGCCAGCACAGCAGCCAAAGGATTCGCTAACTCTCTACCTTTGCATCAGCTATCTGCTACAGGACCGTCAAGCATGACTGCAACACGGCAGGAGGTCATGACGAATATGAATGTGAATAAATGCCCGGTGTCAGCACACAGGAGAGCGGACACTCTTATGATTTATCATGCTGTAGAAGTTGCGAGCAACGGACTTTAAGGTCCAATATCTCAAGACACAGATGTGCTGCTTTTGCTCTACGAGAACGCACTACTGGCAACCATTCTGCGCTACGTCGGGGACAAGCGAAAGACGACGAAAAGTCTTCCTACAGCCTACAGCTTGGACCGGAGAATCAGCAGCTTTGATAAACTGGCTGCTCTCACAGGCTGTGATACGACAGGACATATCCAAGGAAAGGGAAAGAAAGATGCTTTGCAACTTTCCTGAAGGCAAGCCCGTCATCCTGATAGCAACTAGCTGGTCGCTTGCGAGGAGATGACGTCCGAAAAGTTATACATGGCTGTGAAGAGTTCCTTTTTTCTCTTTCCTGTCCAAGTGGGTCCACATTGGGCAAGCAAATATGCTCAGATGGTTTTTGTTCAGCAACTCAAGATGACAACAGGTGACGAACTGCCACCGACCACGGGAGCATGGATTCAACATATATGCCTGCCATGTCCAGATAATATCTGGCACCAGGATATGGTATAAACAACTTGTCTGGACCCTCTGACCTTGGGGTGGCAAACCTAGACAAAAAGCTACTGACAGTTCTTTCTCAGGTTGCACCAGCCCAGTCTCGGTGCTGCGCTACGTCAGTGGTAACTGTGAGAAATTCAAGTTCGCGAAGGTGCTCATGCAGGAGAACAACAATGTGGTCTGTAGAACTTTGCCAAATGTGGTGGGAAAGGCGACAGCTGTACGAACATTACACCACCAATGATGGCGAGATCTAGAGATGATTGAAGCAATGACACCTAGTAACTCCTGATTCATACATGTAGCATTGTGCTACTTTAAAAAAAATATATCCATTTTTCAACTTATTAAATTGAATTTTATATTGAATACATCTGTCTACATTATTCTCTTAAGTGTTTTGGAGATGGTAAAGAGTGTTTCAATCATAATACGTTGTATTAGTGGAATCCTCAATGCCACACTGAAAACATATGGTTAGACACCCAAAAATCTTCCAATGTCCATTGTCGGCCCCCCACTCCGAGATTGGAGGACGCATGCGCGTTCCAAATCTCCGGTAAGGGGTCTTTTTCGCGCCGACAAAATCCGCCCAAGAGGATAAAAAAGGGGTGTATTTGACTTTTCACCGAGATTTCTTTAAAAAGGGAGTGTTTTCCTCTCTCTCTTTCATCTGATATCATAGAAAACTTATCAATATCCCGAGATCAAATTCTGAAATCTGCTAGTTTTGAAAGCTCATTTCAGGATTATTCATTTTGAAAAATAAAAATATTGCTCCCTAGTTCCCTCGCTCACTGAACTCACATACGTAGGGTAGACTGGTACCCGTCGACAGTTCACACGCTACACTAACGTCACTACGTCAGGTAGCGAAGGATACGTACGGAGTGAAGGTGGCGAACGGTGCCGTCTATACGTAGGTGTCCGGATTTAGGGGTTCTCCAAGCAGGAAAACCCGCAAAAAAGCCCCGCGAAAGAGGGGTTCAGAAATTTTGCATACTGAGATAGGGGGGTGCTTTCAAAGGGAGGGAACGAGCATATGTCGTACCCTAAATAAACGGAGCTGGGGGCGGGCCATTGGTACAAACTATGAATTTTACGTAGAAAAAGCCTGAAATATGGTGGCCATCTTGGATTTTTGCTATTTTGGAGTATTTGAGTGCTCTAATTTTGTTTTCCAATGAATCTTTGATTCCTTTATATAAGTTTAAATAAAATAGAATAAATATTGTATGACATTTGAAGAATAGTTATGGTTTTATTGGCAATTATTAAAAAAAAAAAGATTTCCGCTGATGGTCCATTTTGAATTCAAAATGGAGGCCCTAAATGTAATGGAAAAACTGGCACCCATTTTTTCTTAATCAGTGAAGTTTCTAGATGTGTTTAGACGATGAGTGCCAAGAATCTACCAAAAAAATGACAAATCTGGAAAATATTACATAAGCCATAGACTATGAGCGGGCACTATCGCTGCGCGAAGCATTGTTATTATATACGCATTGTGTTTACGTACGAATCTCCTGCGTCTGGGCGCCACGCAAGAGTAATTTCGAACGGCAGTTGTGTTTGTGTCTCAACGTTTTGTTACATCGAATGCACCGGCAAATTAGGAGTATAAAGAGGAATACGCATGAAAAGTAATATGGCATATATGTCATGTGATGCACTAAAAACATTAATGCCTGGGTGGGGGCACTATGCTCTCATAGTGTTTGCTTTGGAAGGAATAGTGGCCTCGCTACGCTCGGGCCACTATTCCTTCCCTCAGCAACACTAATGAGAGCAATAGTGCCCCCAACACAGCATTAATATATAATTATTATAATTATAATTATATTATTATAATATATATAATATATTATATAATATATAATATATTATATAATATATAATATTATAATATATATATATATATCGGTGTATATATATATATATATATATATATATATATAATTATATAATCATATATATATAATAATATATTATAATATATTATTATTATAATTATATTATTATAATTATTATTCATTAATCATATTTATCATATTATTATTCATGATTATTAATCATTATTAATTATTAATCATAATTATATTATAGAGATCAGTGATGCTGGCACAGAGTTTTTTAACACTGAGACGGGTGGGATTTGCTAGGGTCCCTGTATACAGAGGTCCCTGTATACTAGGGTCCTCTGTATATAGGGATCCTAAAATTTGCTAGAACACGGCGCTGATCGATCTCTACCTCAGATCTCTACTATACCAGAGCATATAAATCACTGATATCACGGTGATTTATATGCTCTGACTATACTAACCAAAGATCGTATAGTGCCGGAGGCGCTATACGATCTTTGATACTAACTACTTAGTATAGGAGGCATACAACAGTAAGCCTCCGCAATTGTTCACCGACTATATCGACTCTAGAAAATGCCTTTTTTAGCTTCTTTTTTTCGCAGAAATTCGGCACTAGCTAGATATATAGAGTGCAATAATTTGCCCAGATTGTGTACTGATTGGCATATGCAGCGGACACCTTACATGCAAGGTATTCGTCATATTTCTTAAGTGAAGTATATGGATGGTATGTCATCATATAAATCTATGCTGGGATACCTACTCTTCATTTTAAATGCATAATTTTTACAGAAATATTCTTCTTCTCATGAGATATTGCGCATGCGCGAGCACCGTTTCAGGCGCTCAGAACGGACTAAAGCAAACTGCACAATATAGCTTGCTGAGTGTGAGAGGGGTGGGAGACTGAGGACCATAGAAATAGATAGATAACTAGATGGATGGATGGATGGATGGATAGATGGTTATCTATCTATTTCTATGCTGAGGACAGACGGCAGGGAAGATAGCTGATGGCGGTAGACGAAGAAGGATTCTAAGCGAGGTGCAAGAAAGGCAGTGGGAAAACGGGAGGGGATGAAGTAAGAATTTTTCACCCTGCAAGCTAGGGCGCTCTCCTAATTATAAACACAGGTCTACATATAAAAATTTATTTCAGAAATCTATACTGAGATACCCCCTAACCATAATAAATGCAGATTCATAAGAAAATATAGCTCCTGTGGTGAGATATTGCGCATGCGCTAACCCTCTAACGTAACCAGATTGTGTACTGATTGGCATATGCAGCGGACACCTTACATGCAAGGTATTCGTCCTATTTCTTAAGTGAGATCTACGGATGGTATGTTATCATATAAATCTATGCGGGGATACCTGCTCTTCATTTTAAATGCATAATCTTTGCAAAATATTCTTCTTCTCATGAGATATTGCGCATGCGCGAGCACCGTTTCAGGCGCTCAGAACGGATTGAAGCAAACTGCATAATATAGTGTAGTCGCTGGGTAAATCTGTTGCCAGACGACTGTGCGCTATAGCTTGCGTGCTATGTATGCGCCGTGTAATTGCTTGACTAAACTTACGAATGTGATAATAAAATGAGAGTAGACTGATGTGGATTACAACTGCCGTTTCACTATTGAATATATCTTACAAATTCAGTACAAATCACACGCGGGTTAGTACTAGACGTTTTCAGAAATTCACACAAGTAACACAGGAGTTAGACATGTGTTTTAATTCACATATATCACTAAACTACAGAGGGGTTGATGTACACGCAGAGCCCGTTTCTTCCGGTGCGAGCCTTCTTATACTCCCCTTTCGTCAATGTAACCGTGAAAACCTCTTCCCCAATATGTTTTCTCCTATCAACTGCTGACTACGGCCGATTAGTAGAGGGGTTATGTAAATTATTGTCTGTGGTCGTTTGTGGAGTGGGATAGAGGAATATGGCCAATTGGCGAGTATTGCAGGTGGTAGAAGGGTTCACGCCCTCCTCCCTTCAGCACTGTGGGTGCTTCGTAGTGGGATGACGTATGACGCCATGACGTGTGCTGGTTGATCGCTTTATGTAATTAAATATTTAACAGCTGTTAGGAATAAACTTTACGCATAATGTGTTATTTTTGTTTGGCGACTTCTGAACCGTATTCCCGGCGCAGTGTGGACCTCTATTGTGCTGTTATCTAAGCTATTTATGTTGTGGCTCATCTACCCGCACGCCTAGCAGTATGAGACGTCAATGTGTGTGGTCAGTGCCGACAGCTGTTTAGCAGCTGCTTGTAAACACCAACGTCTGCTGCTAATGTGTAGTGTTTGTTTCTTTCGCGACCCTAGCTCAACTAATGTTGTGCATGCAGCTAGAGGTGTGTCTAAGCTGGCTTTATGCCTTTGAAAGTTGACCGTATCTATTTAGGCCAGGATTGTGGCCATTCGTCGTGATGTATCTATGGCGGGTGGAACTAATTTTACCGATGTGTTTATATGTCCGCAGATATAAATCCGTCTCGCTTGCCAGCTGGTGTGGCGTATAAGATTATGATTTATGCTTGTGGTTCTGCTGCTGTTATATCGTAATATTCAGCCTAGTGTTCAGGCTGGTATTAAATGCATTACGCGGAGTGACAGTGATAGTATTTAAGCGCGTTGCCCTACATTTTCCCCCCACGCCAGGGAAAGACAATGCCCCATTGTCATCATGCAGCTGGCGACTGCTCTAGAAATAGGTGTGGAAAACAATTCCGCTATGAAAGAGCCAGGTACATGCGCATGTACGGTAATGTTGAAACTTGTAACGGTAATGTGTATGATATGAAGCGGTAGCATAGGTAGCGGTAGAAGATGTAAGCCATTAGCCAGTGATTAGGGGAATGTAAGGATAATTCCCTTGCGGTTGTTAACAGTAATATTTGCATCCAAAAAAAATTTTCCCACATAAATGCTGGAAAACAAGCGGTAGCATAACTAATATATAATACTTACTAATAATAAAATCTGTGTGGTAGAACAGTAGTAACTGTACTGCTGTTCCCCCGAAACATTGACAATGGAGCGTAAAGGCAAAAGTTATGGTACAGCAGTGCAAACTGCAACCGTGCTCAACAATATAATTAAACGCATATGAATTACCGTATGTATATTATGTGCTATAAATCCAATGAAAGCGACTTGAGAAATTACGGGGCCAGTGCAAACAGATAATTATTTGGGCAATGATAAAGATNGTTGATGGTCAACCATGCGTAGAAACGTATTATATATATAATAGTGTTCATTAAACCGGCAAGATTGTTTGTTTCCTCGAGGAATTAGTTTCCTTGTATGTGCGTGTGAATATTTAGGTGTGCGTAATTCATAATTATATTTTGCAGTAGCACCAATCGTCGTCACGCATGGCGGTAGACAACGACTTGGATGCAGTACTAGGGTTGAAAGCATCCAACAGTAGTAGTAGCGGCATTATCTTGGCACGTACAACAAGCATGTACCATTTATTTTACCCCGTCAATCATGGCTATTCAAAGTAAGACCCAACGGGGCCAGCCAGTCTCATTAGTTTTCGCTCCAGCTCTTCAAGCTTCATAGCTCATTGTACCAGCAAGCCACCATGCCCCCATGTTCCTTGGTTAATTCATCCATCCGACCCTGGCTGATATGCTATTGGGTTAGTTCCGGTCGGGTGGGGGTGGGAGGCCCCCCGGGGGGCCCCCCAGTACCCCCAGGTCTGATGGTGGGTGGTGGACGGTGGATGGTAGTGGAGCTGGATTGGTGGTGGTGGATAAATAGAAGTGCTTCAGTTTGGACGTGGCGTAGTGGGTGAGTGGGTGAGTGAGTGAATGGGTAAGTGGGGTGAAATTGACGGAAAAGTGTTGGATTGCCGGATCTGGTGCTGTTGTGCTGTCTTTCCTAGTCGGTCGGGGTTGTGGGCGCAGCAGGAAGGTGTGGTCCATTGCAGGTGATGAAGAGTTCGCGCTTCAGTTGGGCGTTCTCGGCTAGCGCTGTGCTGAGTTCCCCCAGCATCTGGATAATACACGAGCGCGCCTTCTGCAGTTGCGTGTGAAGCTGCTGCTTCTCCCTGAGCACTTGGTCAAAGTCTACCCTAGCGTATTGCAGGTACTCCTGCAGTGTGTGTTCGCGCCCGGCTAGGTCGGCCAGCTTGTTAAAGGCGGCGTCTCTCTCGCGGTCAGCCTTCCTCCCGGCCTCTGCGCATGCCGCGTTGGCATCCTGAAGCGCCTTCTCCAACGTGGCAACGGCCTCCTGCTGTGCGTTTTGGGGCCGGCTGCGCTGGTCCTCACGTCTTGTACCCCGGCCGTGACTTCTGCTGTAAGGTTTGGACGTGTTGGCCAACCTTAGGGTGCGGGGTCCAACCGTCTCGTTCAACGTTGGAAGATAGTCGGTTGGTCGGTGGATGGGGCGTCCTCGTCCCACTCCCACGGCCAGTCGGGCAGTCGTCGTGCGGACGCCTACAGCGAATGTTGGTTCTTCCCTTTCTGCCATTTTGACTAAAGGTTATCGTGGGCGCTTTACAGATGGAGTGGAAAAGAAGGAACCGGTTAGTACAATGAGCTATGAAGCTTGAAGAGCTGGAGCGATAACTAATGAGACTGACTGGCCCCTTTGGGTCCTATTTTGAATAGCCATGATTGACGGGGTAAAATAAATGGTACATGCTTGCTGTACGTGCCAAGCTAATGCCTCTACTACTACTGTTGCATGCTTTCAACCCTAGCACTGCATCCAAGTCGTTGTCTACTGTCATGCGTGACGACGATTGGTGCTACTGCAAAATATAATTATAGATTACGCACGCTTAAATATTCACACACACATACAAGGAAACCAATTCCTCGAGGAAACAAACAATCTTGCCGGTTTAATGAACTTTATTATATATATAATACGCTTCTACGCTTGGNCACGGTAGAAGCTGTACGGCTGACATGCACCAACCCGTCAGGGTGTGCCTGTTCCTCGACCGGTGCCTCCACGTTAGCCACTGGTGGTGCTAGCCCCACCAGTTGCAGTGGGATCCCGGCCCGAGCCTCATCGCTACCTACTCCGTAAGACTGACGATGGCGGAGACAGCGGCGTAGAAATTGGCAATTGGGTGCTGTCGTTTTAGGGCCACATGTTACAACTGCCATGACCACTATGATTATGAGTATGGATCCCATTGACCCATACACAGCCGAGCGGTGAGTGCGAAATTG